GTTTCTACAAACGCATTTGTAAAAGTATCATGATAATATTATCATATATATTTTAAAAGTATCTGTGGCTGTCGAAATTTTACACGAATCAGTATCTATGTTGTGATATTGATACTTACAATTTAAAAAATTTGATTTTGGTCTAATTTTATTTATCAATAGGAATAAAATTTACAGTTAAAATGTACAGTTATAAACACATTATACCACATATTGCATTCAGCGTATGTGCGCTAAAAAATGGTACTAAATCTTTCACAACTGTGTCTCCTGCATTTTTCAAAGATTTGGTCATGTTTTCACCTTCCTCGATCAAAATCTGAATAAACTGCTGCAATATATTAAAATGAAATGTGGGGGTTAATATCTTTCGTCGTGAATGCCATTTGGCGCCTGAAACATAAATAACATATAATAGTAAAGGCTCATAAAATTAGAAATTAATCAAAGAAAGATGGAGCGTAGAGCCGTAACAAGGTGTTGATGTTCATATATTTTATACTTCCGTAAAAAATTAGCAAATTGTAATGTACATACTGTACATATACATATATTCCAACTTAATAGACTGCGCGTCGCAAATTTGTCGGACTTGAAACACAGCTATCTTGGAACATTAAAAATCCTTTCCTACCCGGAATTAAACCTACACGATTTAATTGTTTTTAAAAAACGTAAAAAATTTATTGCGAAAAATATTAGCTCGGCCAGGCTTCTGTTGGAATATATGTATATGTACAGTATGTACATTACAATTCGTTAATTCTTTACGGAAGTATAGAACATATGAACACTAACATCTTGTTACGGCTCCACGCTCCATCTTTCTTTGATTGATATATAAATAACATATTTGTATAATTGTAGGATAACAATGTGGAACAATTATTGCAGTAAGATATATATTTCTTTATTTAATTTGAAATTTGATTGATTTTTAATAACCATTGAATATTAAATGTATTCTTTTTGTAATAGACGTTTAAACTTTTGCGTTAAAATATCATCGTGTAATAAAACATACAAGAAAAAAATTCTTTGTAATACGTTTATTATTTTTTTTATAATAATTATGTTTTAGATGATTATATTATTTAATAATTTATTTTTTTATATTTAGTAATACAATTATTTTTTTCATGATTGATATAAGATATTGTGAACATATATGTAAACTAATTGCTATTAATATTAATCTAATTCAAGATAATCGATTGGGAGAAATAAAGTAAAATTTTTTTTAAGATTGAAATTTCTTCCGTGATATAATATATGCTATTTACATTTAATTACATAGATTTATTCTGTTATCAAAATTGAAACTAAAAACAAAATTTAATAAGAAATCAAAGCAAAATTTAATAAAGCATATACCATTATTTATATTAATATCGTGATGTTACCTCCACTAGTGAGAAGACCAGTACCGAACCACGGATGTAAAATATCATAAAGGATACTTTTTTCAATATGTTTTGTACTGCTTAATATTGTCTGAAATAACAAAAAATATTAAGTTAAACGTTATTTAATTCAGACGTCATTGAATAATTGATTAATTGATTTTAAAAGTATTTTAAATATCCAATCATCTCGGAGATTGAAATAAAGAGATAATATCTTTAATTTTAAATATACGATTATTTCAGACTTTTGACGAATAAACATATTTAAACAACATAAAAAACATAAAAATGTAAACATTTTATCGCTAATATATTATTAATAAAAAGATCCAGAATAAAATTTCTTTCATACCTCTAAATCATTCGGATGACTGATGAATATTACGGGAAAAAAGAATCCCCATACTTTTGCAATGGGATAAAACTCGTCAGTTAGGGTAATCACAATCTTCCATTGTTCTTCTAAAACATGTATGTATATGTTTATTATGTAAATTTACGGACATATTATAAATATTGATCAAAATATGTATGATTGATTGATGTATGATTGATGTATCTAGATATGTTATTGTTTTTCAAATAACTCCAATAATCAAAATACATGAATGCTACTGCTTAAAAATATTTATAAGCTTAAATAATTCTTAAAAGTAATTCATGTGCAATAATATCAATAATTATATATCTCAAAGATATTTGCAAATATTATTTAGAAATTTGTGTTTACACAGGCGAATATTTATTTATGGGAATATTGTGTATGTAAAATTATAACTTACCTCGTGAACCAAAACATTGAAATGCATTTCCAACAATTGGATAACCTGATGGTCCTGGTATAAGATTGATAAGTCGTCCCTTTCTTCCATGATAATGCACATAATAGTTAGATATCAGTAGAATAAGGATAAGTAATAGCAATATAATAGTGATCATTATCAGCCGACGAAATTTGTTTCCTTCTGCTATCTTTTTTTAATGTCTAAAAATTCAATTAATTAGAAATCAACACTTAAAAAGGAGAGAATAAATCCACAACAGCGTAACTTTTTAAAATAATATTTTGACAAATGTTTGGTCTATTATCCGATCATCTTTAATGTGATAAGTTAAGATAACACAAAGACCGGTAAATAAAAAGATAAAAATGTAAATCACAATAAACTCATTAATCGCATTAGTTCTTATCGCTATATAAAATTCGAATCGAACGCTCATCCTATTT